TAGTTCGCGCGCGCGGGGCGGCCCCTGGGGGTCCCCCGGCGAAAAGTACCCCGACCAACGCCCGACCGCCGCCCGACCGCCGCCCGACCGCCGCCCGACCACCGCCCGACCAAGTCTACTCAGAGATGGTTTTCCTTCTGGGTGCGGCCTCTCAGGCTCCCCAGAGCGCGCTCAGAGTGCCCCAAGAGGCCCCCAAGACTGCCCAAGAGGCCCCCGAGACGCCCAAAGAGCGCTCGAAGACGCCGAAGATGACCCCAAGACGGCCCAAAAGGCCCCCAAGACAGCCCAAGAGGCCTCCAAGACGCCCCAAGAGCCTTCCAAGAGGCCTCCGAAGAGAGCCCCAAGAGGCCAAAATAGTTGATTTTCATTTGTTTTTTCGATGTTTTTTGTGTTCTGGCTTTTTCGGCTTCCGGACGCTCCAAGACGGCCCAAGAGGCCCCCAAGACCGCTCCAAGACGGCCCACGAGGCTCCCAAGACGGCCCCGGAACGGCCCAGGAGGGCCCCCAAGACGGCCCAAGTGCCGCCCAAGACGGACCAAGAGGCCCCAAGACGGGCCCAAGAGGGGCTCAAGAGGGGAACCGAGAACTGAAAAATCGAGCCCTCCGCCCCAGAAGGCGCCCAGGAGGCCCCAAAAAGGCCCCAAGAGGCCCCCAAGAGGCCCCCAAGACGCCCCAAGAGGCGCCCAAGAGGCCCAAAAGAGGCCCCAAGAGGCCCCAAAACGGCCCCCAAAACTCGGCTAGCCCACAACGGTGCGACAATATGGGCCGGCGGAATGAGCGAAGCGATTAATAACTGCTCGCAGATGGCCTGGATCCGCCGCGGGGGATCTACGACATGATACATCACGGCAGTCATAGTTGTTTTTTTTGTTCCCCCGAACGATTGCAAGCAGGAATCTTGCGAGTAGTGGAGCGCGCTCGGTGAGACATTGGAGGCAGGGGGATGAGACAGAACTGACGGTCTGGCGGTTTCCGTTTTCGGCTCGTGCCGCGCGCGCGGGCGTGGCGAAGCGTGCGGGACAGAGAACCAGACTCGAATTTGACCCTATCCCTAAGATCGGCAAGCACAAAGCGACGTCTGTCGCAGGGGTGTGCCCTCAGAAACTGGGGAAAGACTCGAGATCGACATCGAGGTCAGGTGACGCCAAGCGTAGGGATAGGGATATGCCTCAAACTGGTAAGCATGACCATCGCCGCCCGAAGGCACGCGCGACAAGTCGTGCCGCGTCCCCGCGGCAGGCGCGAGCGTGCCAGCCCGTCCAGCGGCTCACGGACGTCAGATGACCACCTCGCTGATCCCGGCTGTGCCGATCCTGGGCTCGAGATCGGCGCGTCCTTGATCGGTGAGGTGGTCGGTTCGGTGGGCGTCCCCATAACGGATGACACTCAGACACTTTCCGGGGACCAACCTTTCATCGCGAGTGCCCTGAGGCATGATAGATCGTATGAGAAAAAGGCCCGCGTATAGTCAACATGATGCGCAATGAACCGCAAAGGGTCAAGATCATGAGAAACATATCATTATCTGATGGTCGCGGCGCCCAATGAAGGCCGCCAGAAAGCCAAAATTGCCAAATACCTTCCGTCACATGTTGTTGTTCGCGACACAGGAAGGTCAGGGGTTGTCCTGTGGTTGTACCATGTCTTTGCCCCGTGGTTGTCGTTGTCGGGAGTGCGGTTGTCCACCGGTAAGACGTAGTGGGGGTTAGATAGGGAGCGAGGTAGGAAGGTTGAAGTGGCACAGAGTCGCCAAACATCTCGGTTCTTGTCGTGCGTGTCTTCCGGGCGCGGTGAATCCGCGCGAGCGCGAGAAAACGATCCGCCTGCCTCGGGCCAGGAATCACACATGTGTTGCGCTCCTGAAGAAATCCCAATGGTTTGTCCCGCGGGCTGTCCCGATGCATGTCCCGTAGTTGCTCTTGGTTGTGTCGATAGGTGTGCCGCTGGTTGCCGCGAAGGTTGTCGGGATGGTTGCCCCGCTGGTGGCCCCGCTGGTGGCCCCAATGATGTCGCGAGTCTCAAGGATTGCCAAAATTGTTGTCCCGATAGTTGTCCCGATGATTGTTCCGACGGTTGTCCTGATAGATAGATAGTGAGACCCATAGATTTGAAATCGATCCATGGACGTCGAGTTCGCTGAAAATGATAGTCGCAAACCCAATCCAACGCCGATCTCAAACCGAAAGGTGCACCCCTCCCCCCAACATCCCTATCACTCGAAAGGCAATTCATGAGGTTGTGATCGGAGGATTGGGAATGATATCGAAGTGAAATGGGTACCTCCGACCTGGAATCGGTTTCGTTTCCGTCGTTGTGTCGTGCGTGCAGGCGAGGCGAACATGCGTGCGGGGGCGAAACGAGCGATCCCGCCACTGCTAGGGCGAAGTCGGAGCAACACTCGTTCCTCGTCGGGTTGGTGGATTGATTGGGCCCTCGGTTGTCCCACGATTGTAGAGTGGTTGCCCTGTGCTTGGCACGATGGTTGTCCCGATTGTTGTCCTGTGGTTGCTCCGATGGTTGGTTCGATGGTTACCCCAATGGTTGTTGTCCCGATGGTAGTCCTGATGATGTCCCGATGGTAGTCCTGATGATGTCCAGATGTTTGTTTCGATGATGGGCTGACTGACTGAAATTGAGCTCGGTAGGTAGTGAATGAAGCTGACGGACAGATACATGGACAGAATCGATGGGCAGAAAGATGATGTGATGGATAAACAGATAGAGGCAGCAATACACGAATATTGATGTTCTTAAACACGCATGAATAATGCAATCAATAGATGGACGGATACTGGGATCGATACACAGATGGTGACGTCGATGCACAGATAGACCTGATGAGTCTGCCCGATGGTGGAAATGGTTGTCCCGAATGTCGTCACGTACTTGACCCCCCCCAACGCCCTTATCGGCCACGGGCCAGTCTTATAGGTATAGCAAGGTCGGTATATAGAAATCTGGACAACTTGATGGTTGATCAGAGAGCTGGTTGCTACAGTCAGGTTTTCTGACAGCTAGACCATCGAACACACCTGAAGAGAAAGACACATAGCTATGCAATTGGTTGGATAATTGGTCGAGTACTTCGATGCGGTCCGATTGGCATCTAGAACGTGACACAAGATAACTAGATTCCGATCTGCTTCTATAATGTGTATGTGACACATGTTTCTATGATGTGCAGGTTAGAAGAATGCTTAACACTGTAATCGATACCTGGATACTTCGGTCGACACATCTGTACCTTGCTAGTTCGCCGGGTAGAGGAATAATTTGAGCATCGGGCAGTGAAGATAGCTGGGTGACGTGCACAGACGGCTACATACACACATGATCAGAGAAGGGGCTCCAGAAACCATACATCCAAAACATGGGGATCTCTTGGGGAAACATTGCTTACTTCCACATGCTTCCGCCAACTGTCCGCCAACGGAGCCGTCCCCGTTACACGTCCGCCGGCTTCTGCCAGCCTTCCGACGGCTACCGCCAAGGAAGATGTGCCAAGTCTTTCGATCGTCGAAGGCGAAGCCATTTCCGGAACACTCCCAACATAGCGACGCAACCTGATGACACATGGCTAAAGATCGAATGAAACATTTCTAGGACGTGCAAAGCAAGAGTTGGACGAGATTGCTCAATTGGCCGCGGGGCAATCGCAAACCGAAAGACGTGCCCACCCCCCCACCCCTGGACCTTCTTTTCACCCGAAGGGTGGTCTTAAGAATATAGTAGAAGCCAGTCCATAAGAAACCTTCCGCAAGAAACCCAACCCTGAGACCCCAGTACGTCCATTGCTATTTAGGGTGGGAACGTCACGCGTTTCACAGCACAACCATCGAAAACCAAGAAATCCAGGGCACCCTGGCCTCTTGGCATGAGACTGGACTCTACTGTACTGCATGGCCCATTTCAGAACCCCTGCGTGACAGAAACATGCAACCGGGGTGCACTTGCTGCTTCGGCAAGCTTGCGCTGGCCTTCAGCCGGCAACACTGCCCTCGTTTCTACTTCCGCCTGCCACAGTCGGCCTTGCGTCAGCTCCTGCCGAGGAAAGGATGCCTAAAGGGGCCCGCGGACACACAAATAAGCAGACACGAATCCCAGGATGCCACATATGTTCATGTATGTTCTGGACATTCGTCTCCCCCCAATTCCCATATTTTCCAGCATTTTCCCGGGAATCAACGCTTCACTGTGTCGGTGTGTTCTTTCTCTCCTGAATGTCAACCTCCAGAGCCCTCGAAGGCGACGCCCTGCCTGGTGCCCCATCGGGATCGATTGTCGTGCTCTTGCGCCCCCCTTGCCAAACACAGTCGGCTTCGAAGACGCGGCCGGCAGGTGGCATCGCCACGGCATCTCCCAGACACCTCCTTCGACCAGCGGCCCTGTCACGAAGGAGAGTGGTCGAAAGACGGTTTACCATACATTGTTTCGCCGTCAGGGTCGCCTGTCCCGTGGCGGCTGGAAAACTAATACCCCTGCGGTGGCACGTTGGGGTAAAAACTGTCCAGCCGCCCTGTGGCAGGCGTCCCTGACGGCGAGAGGTTCATTCTAGTCCGTTCCCAAAACTCCGGCGTCATGTTTTTCCATGGCGTGGACCCCCAGACGTCTGAACCCCTTCCAAGGGACCAGCTTCTCATCCTGAATCGTCTTGTTGGCGGCCCCGAGGCCCCGTAAAGCAGAACGTTGCCCCAAGCTGTCGGCCATGAGCTTTGCACGACGCGAGGGGCTCTGGGTTGTTCAATCGGGCCGGGCGAAAGGGGGGGATAGCAAAGGGGGGGTTTGAGAATCAGCTCACGTAGCTGATTTTCCCGGCGCCTCCCGGCGCCGGGAGGCGCCCATGTATCGAGGAATGGGCCCGGCGGCGGAGCCGAAACCAGCTGCATGCAGCAGATTTCGTAACCCCCCTTTCCCTATTCCCCCCTTTCGTTCGGCCCCGTTCACTCGTGCGCTGACGTCTCGCCGAGCCAGCGCAGCCATCCGGCACCAGCCCTGCGGGCTTGAGCGTGGCACTGCCCGCGGGCCGCGCCTCCAGGGTCACCTCCCGGGGGGCCCCAAGACCGCGTGGTGACGGACCGCGTGGTGGAGGAGGAGGAGGACGAGGAGGAGGAGGAGGAGGAGGAGGAGGAGGAGGAGGAGGAGGAGGAGGAGGAGGAGGAGGAGGGGGAGAGGAGGAGGAGGAGGGAGGAGGAAGAGGGTGGAGGAGGAGGAAGGAGAGGAGGAGGAGGAGGAGGAGGAGAGCGGACGAGGCGGAGGACGAGGAGGCGGAGGAGGAGGAGGAGGTGACCTCATCATCCCCACCGGCTTCACCGCGCGGCCCGTCATTTGCAGGCTTTTTTGGGGGGCCGTGGAGGCCCCAGCCGCCCGAGGAATCCACAGAGCACGACCCGAGCGCCAGGAAGGGGGTCCCAGAGCGGATGCAAGAACTCCGCACGGAGCGCGACAAGTTTATGCTTATGGCGTTTTTCCTCTCCGCCAAAAGCAGGCGGTGACCCCGAACTCCAACTGACTCACCACGCGGTGTGGTCATCACACCGTTCTGTGGCAACTCACGTCAGCCTCCCTTGCAGTCTTGCTGGCTCTTGCAAACCGACGCTCTTCGACGCTGATCGATGCTACATCGATGCTAATCGACGCTACATCGACGCTACTCGACGTTCTAGACGCTAACGCACGGTAGAGCACTCGAAAAGCGGATTCCTGAGGACATACAAGGTTCCTATGAGTTGGTATCGGATCACCGTTTGGGCCCACCCGACACCTGGGGGCCGGGCCGCAGGATGACCTGCTCGGCATACGTGCCGGGCCTCACGGCGATGGCCACAGCGCCACAGCCAGCCGGAGCAGCTCTCAACGCTTCTGCTATCGTGGCGAAGCCGCCCGCCCCGAGGTCGCCGCCCACCTCGCAGCCGGAGCAGGGCTGGCCACCCGCAGAATCAAGCTCACCACAAAACTACAGCCCAGAGCTCCAAAATAATTGTCGTCCCTCTCGCCGCCTCCGCCACCGCCGTCGTAGCCACCTTCACCGCCACCGCCGTCGTCGCCGCCGCAACCGCCGCCGCTGTCGTCGTCGTCGTCATCGTCGTCGTCGTCATCGTCGTCCCCCTTCAGGGTCGCCGGCACTGGCCGTAAGGCTCTCGCAAGGAAAACATATTAATGTGCAGGGTTTTCGCCAACTTCCCCTGAGCGTATGTGGCCGATACCAGATACCCTGAACCCAAACATATGTTCATCTCTTGGGGGCGCATTTCATTATTTCGCAACCTCCCAGCCCCCTTGCGCCGGCGCCCTTGCGCTGGCTTCCGCCGGCGGAGGCGGCCTCGTTTTACTTCTGCCGACCTTCCGCCGCGGAAGAGATGGCACTCCACTCCGTCTGTCCTCGAAGGCGGGGCCCTTTTTGGAACGGCCCGTGCGGTGCATCGCGGCAGCGGGAGCCATCCGAGACGCCCCGGGGCTTATGATGTTCCAGCCTACTTTAGCCTTGACCACCAGAAAGAATTCCGAGCACTCAAAAAAATCCGAAACTCACGGGTTTTCACGTGCCGGGCCCTGGGAGACACTCGTCCGACACTGTTTCGACACTATTTCGGCACTTTTCTGGGTGCTCTAAAATATTTCTGGGATTTGGCCTTAAGCCCGATGGGAGCAAAATGACCCGGGGCCTGGTGACCGCGGCGCGCGAGGGCGGGAGAGAGGCGGGACGCCAAGGAGACCACCAGAGGGCTCTCGGGGCCTGGCTGCCGCGGTGCGCAGGGCGGACGAGGCCGGTCGCTCCTCCTCGCTCGTCCTCTCTCGTCCTCGCTCCTTGTCCTCCGCCTTCTCCTCATCCTCCTCCTTCTCATCCTCCACCTCCTCCTCCTCCTCCTCATCCTCCGCATCCTCCTCCGCCTTCTCCTCCTTCTCCTCCTCCTCCTCCTCCTCCTCCTCCTCCTCCGCCTTCTCGCCTCTTCGGTTCCCCATGGGCTTTTACAAAGCCTCAGGAGGTCTCTGGAGAGGAGGCCCCGGAAGAAGCAAGGCCCAAAGAGGGCGCGCTCCAGAGGGAAGGCGACGCTAATCAGCTGGCCTTGCCACCCCGAGGCCCCCCAAAAGGGCCCTCTAAGAGAGCCCCCGGCGAGCCGCAAAGGCCCCCAAGAGAGGCCGAGAGAGCCCCAAGCTTGCTCGATGCGACTCACATCGGCGACGCCGAGAGCGCCTCCTCCTCCTCCTCCTCCTCCTCCTCCTCCTCCTCCTCCTCCCCCTCCTCCACTTCCACGCAACCTGAGGCGGGAAGGCTCGCATGACCCTCGGCGACCGCCGAAAGGACCACGGTCAGGAACGTTTGGGCAGCGCGTCGCCACGGCGGCCTCGGCGACACGCTGCGCCCTGCGAGTGGATGGCCTGTCGCTCCGCCTCGCGGAGCGGGAGGTGAGGAAGAGCTGGGCGCGTGGACGTCTGGAGACCGCGAGGTGGGTAGCGCGTCGCACCGAGGTGCGGTGGGCCAGAACCGGCGGAGCGACACGCTAAGTCAACGGCTCCCGACCGTAATGTACACACCAGTCTTCTCGACGAGCGCTATGAGCAGCCTCCCTGCCTGCGACATTGCAGAACATGAGAAGTCGAAAAGAGGAAAGGGATAAAGAGGACAATCCCGCGCGTGCGCACACACCTGTCTCACTTTGCCAGCGGCACTCGCACTGCCAGCGGCACTAGCACATTTTGCCCTCAGCGGCGGAACGCGAAAGTCGGTTATCCTGGCGAGGCACCCAGCCATATGTCGTGAATACCGCCGTTGCGAGAGCTGCTGTCTTCAGTGGAGCTCCCTATGGGCACGAAGCGCGCGAAAGGTGTGCCGCAATGAGGCGGGGCCGCCATGCGGGCGCTGCCCTCTCTTTTCAGATTGCCGCTACGGGGGCGAGCCGTACTGCCTGGGCCCCGGGTGGCACCGCCCCGTTATGCGGTGTGCTGCCAATGACGTTCGCGGAGGCAGCTCCCCGTCACACACGCAGTCCTGCCCTCCCCTGGGCGGGTCGTGCGTGGCGGGCCCTCCCTCCCCCCCCTCCGTCGTCCCCCCGTCGTCCGTCGTGTCGTTTTGGGTCCTGGGGCCTTCGGTGAGCTCCCTGTGTTGCCACGAAATGTGTGAGCGGTGTGCCAGAGTGGGGTGGGCGGCACGCGAACCATGCCACTGTGGCCTCCGGTGGAGCTCTCTGTGGGGCCATGCAATGTGTGAGGGGTGTGCCAAAATGGAGGGGGGGCGGCATGCCAACCATGTCACTGGGACTATCAGTTCAGCTCCCTATGCGGCAGCGAAACTTATGATATGTGTGTGTGCCGAAGTGGAGGGGGGCGGCAAGCGCACTATGCCACTAGGGCCTTCGGCGGATCTTCCTGTAGGGCCGCGAAACGTGTGAGGTGTGCCAAATTGGACGGGAGGCGGCATGTGAACTATTCCACTGGGGCCTTCGGTGGAGCTCCCTATTGGGCCACGAAACTTGTGATGTGTGTCGAACTGGTGGGGGGGCGGCATGCGCTTCATTCCTCTATGGCCTTTTAGTGGGGCTCCCTGTGGGGCCATGGAACGTGTGAGCTGTGCCAAAGTGGAGCGGTGGCCGCATGCGAACCATGGAACTGGGGCCTTCGATGAAGCTCCCTCTGGGGCCAAGAAATGTGTGGTGGTTGTGCCAACTTAAAAGGGGGCGTGGCATGCGAACCATGCCACTGGGGCCTTCGGTGGAGCTCCCTATGGGGCCACGGCATGTGAGTGGTGTGCCAAACGGAGCGGGGGCGGCATGCGAACTATGTCACTGGGGGTTTCGGTGGATCCCCTATAGGGGCCACGAAAGGTGTGATGGGTGTGCCATAGTTGAGGAGGCGGCATGCGAACCATGCAACTAGGGTCTTCCGTAGAGCACCCTTATGGGGCCACGAAACGTGTCAAGGGTGTACCAGTACCAAAGTAAGGGTGGTGACGGGAGTGCCGAACTGTTGACATGCGGAGGGCAGAGGCTAGGGTGGGAGGAGGGAGAAGCGGGAGGAGGAAAGAAGAGGAGATGAGGAGGCCCGGGGACTGTCTCTTCAAAACGGGGACCCAACACCACAGGATGGTTGGGAAAGAACCGAGGAGGGAAGCGGAAGAGCACGACAAGGACGGAACGGGAGGGAGATGAACTGGACGCCATCTTGCAGCACGGGTCTCGAATGGCGGGCCAGACTCGGATGCGCGAAGCATGTGGATCACAGTGCGGTGTAAAAGCACGCAGCCAGATGGAAGTGAGCCGTGCCCTGTCGAGCCCCAAGATGGATCCAGAACGCCTCCGAGCAGCTTCCAGGCAGCCACGACAAAGGCCACGAGCAGCGACCGAGGGCAACCCACCACCTGGCCACAGCTGCACTGACCTCGGGCGCGCCGAGGAGGAGGAGGAGGAGGAGGAGGAGGAGGAGGAGGAGGAGGAGGAGAGGAGGAGAGGGGGAGGGGAAGGAGGAGAAGGAGGAGGAGGAGAGGAGAGGGAGGAGGAGGAGTTGCAGGAGTACGAGGAGGAGGAGGAGAGGAGGAGGAGGAGGAGGAGGAGGAGGAGGAGGGAGGAGGGGGGCAGGGAGGCAGGGGCGCTGGCACGCCACGGCCCGAGGCACGTGCGCGGACGAACGGCGGGTGGGCTGGGAGCGGACCGAGAGAAAGGGGCGCCGGGGGTCGCGAGACCTGGTAGAGGAAAGAGAACTGTGCACATGCACCGATTCTGGCCAGGCCCACCCTGAGCCCAAGATCGGTGCATACGCCCTCCTGCCTTGGCCACGAAGGCATATGCACCGATCCTGGGGCCAAGGATGGGCCTGGCCAGGACCGGTGCATGTGCATAGTTCTCTTCGCCCGACCTGGGAGATCCCACCGGCCCGGGCACGATGCGTCCACACGCCCCTGGGCCTCACCTGGCCATCGCTCGGACGTCCATTCCCGTGGCTGACTACCTACGAGACCACCCCAACCCAACCCGAAGACCCCAATTTCGGGTTGGGGGGGGTACGGGCTGCACACGTGTTTTTTCGATGTTCCCCGACCCCCCCCCAACTGGAAATGGAGGGCAAATTGAAGCCTTCGGGTTGGGTTGGGGTGGTTTGGTGGGTGGTGAGCCCCTGGGCCTCACCTGGCCATCGCTCGGACGTCCATTCCCGTGGCTTCTTGTTCGGCTTTGTGCGTGGCTTGTTCGCTAAATGACCAAGGATGCTCCTGGATGGTCCTCGCCGAAGGAAAAACGCACAGGTCCGAACGATGCCAAGTCACCCACCCCCCGACGGCTATACCCGCCGCACTCCCGACGGCCTCGGCGCTCCAGGCGGCAGCGACCTCCTCCGCCCGCGCGCAGGCGGGCCCAACCGCTGGGGCGACGAGGGCCGCCACCTGTCTTGGCAACTCCAGGGGGCCTCCCGTGTCATCACGCTGGCTCCTGCGAATAGGCGCTGGCCGACGCGAATCGACGCCAACCGACGCCAGATCGACGCCCAGCTGACGCTTCCCCGTCGTTTACCAGACGCTATCGCACACCTGGCGCACTCCGAAGACGGAACTTCGAGGACATACCAGGCCCCCACGAGTTGCGACCGAAGGCACCGCAGCGCCCGCAGCGGCCCTGCGCGGCCGCCGATGGAGCTCCTGGAGAGGCAACGGAGTACGGCTGCCGCTGCTCTCCGTGAGGGCAAGACTCGTGTCGAAATCCCCTGCGTCTCGGAGCCTCGGGCCCCCTTCTCCAGAGACCAGAGGCGCAACGGCTCTGGAGAAAAAACCTGCCCCCACGAGGCTAGATTATTACCCCTATCCACTGCGCCTCGCCTGTCTGTTAGGGAACCGAACCCTATACAGCTACATACGCATTCTCCAGCCCTGCACTAAAAGTTGCACAGGAAAACGGATCTTGGTGTATACGGGATCCTGGTGTATTCATTTTCGCTGGTTCACAGGAAACGCGAAAAAATCTACACCACACCGCCCCGAGGTCGACCCCGACCCTCAAAAAGCCCTGGGATTGAAAAACGGACCGCCACTGGCCATGCAGGTGTTCCAGCTGTCGATGTATCCCTATCCACTGCGCCTCGCCTTCTTACGGTGCCCCCCACTCCCAGAGGAGTCCGAGACGCAGAGGATATGGATCTAAGATAGATCCTGCGCGCACCCCCTGGGTGCGCTCTGGCTGGCACGCACCGCGGGGCGAAGCCAGCCGCGGCGACGACGGCCCCCCCAAGGAAGCCCTCCAAAGGCGAAACCGAAGCAACCGAGTAGGGAATCAACTGCAACATGGATTTACCAGAAGTGGCTTATTGGCCGACTCCACGAAGAATGATTCGCATGCTCGCGAGGCCTCAGAACATGTTACGCACCTGCTGTGCACTCGATGAGAAAATCGAGTTCGGGGTAAATCAATTGTGCAGTCGACCCCCTGCTCGAAGCACGGGTACAGTCGGGACGTTGACCTAAGGAACCCTAAATAAGGAACGAGGCCCCTTTTTCCCATCAGTGAAGGTTCGATTTCCCATCGGAAACCTGAGGAAAACCTGGGGCAACCTGTGAAACAATCAAGGAACACGGAGCCCCTCCCCAACGAGAAGGGTTCCTTCTTCAGCGCCCCGACTGTAGCTGTACCTTCGCGTCTGGTCTTCGGGTCAGAGGTTTGGCTCTACGGCGGCCGCCCGGGTTGACCGTGGCACCCCCAGACGCACCTCGGCGGAGCGCGGCTGCTGGAGAGAACCCCGAGGCTGGGAAGCCGCCGAGAGACGAGGACTACCCCCTAACTGACTACCCGGCCATCGCTCGGACGTCCAGTCCCTGTGTTTTTTTTTTCGGTTTCGTGCGTGGCTTTTTCGCCAACTGATCAAGGATGCTCCTCGATGGTCCTCGCCGAAGGAAAACGGCACACGTCCAAGCGATGCCGAGGCCGAGAGACGAGGACTACCCCCTAATTGACTACCGACCAGACCACCCCGACCCAGCCCGAAGACCCGAATTTCGGGTGGGGGTGGGATCTGGGCTCCACATGTGTTTTTTTCGATATTCCGGGACCCCCCCCCACTGGAAACGGAGGGCAAAGTGAGGCCTTCGGGTTGGGTTGGGGTGGGTTGCTGGGTGGTGACTAGCACCTCAGACCTCGAAGCGCGATTGAGGGCCAGGCAGGGCAGCGGTCTGGATGCCCCCTCCTCCTCTTGCGCTCCTGGCCCGCCTCCCGCACGAACAAAGACGCCCCCGTAGCCACGGCCTCGCGGCCCGAGCCCCTGGGCCGCAGCCCCCGCGGCTGTGGCGCTTCTCTTCGCGGCTGCCCCGCGCGGAACGCAGCCGTGCGACCCGCGCAGAGGCGGGACCGCGCCTACCGCTCCCCGTCGCTCGGACGTCCGTTCCCTGTGTTTGTTGTTCGGTCTCGTGCGTGGCTCTTTCGCAGGCTGCTCCAGGATGCTCCTTCATAATCCCCGCCGAGAAAAGAAACACACGTCCGAGCGACATCAAGACCGGAGGCTCGACCGAGCAGGCGCCGCGGGCGGGGACGCGCGCGCCGCGCGCGAAGCCTCGGAGGCCCCGCGGCGCGAGGGCAGAGGAGGGGCGTGGCCTTCCTGCAGGGGGTCCTCCTCCCCTCTCACCAGGGCTGCTCGCCCCCCCCCTTCTGCGTCCGTGCCCTCGTCGTCGCCGTCGTCGTGCAGAGGCGCGGGCACGGGATAGGCGTCGGTCGGAAGGAGCAGGTCAAAATGTGCAGCAGGGAGGCGGATCAAGCAGATGGGGTTCGGGCCCTCTCAGATGGCACCGAAGCACAGCAAAAGCGCAGCACACAACAACAAACAGCAAACCACAACAAGCAACAATTATCAATCAACAACAAACAGACAGCAGCAATCGACAATCAAACACCAACAACCAACGCAACCACGACAACGACAACACCACCTGCACAAAAACAACAACACAACAACACCAAATTACAACAACAACAACAACAACAATCACTTTACCCGAACGCTCAGTGTTCTCACCAGTGCCAGGGTTTTCATGCGACGCCAGCCAATACCCCCACTTTGTGGGGGGGCAGTGCAAGCTCTACCAAATATCCACACGACTCTTCGCCACCACCCACACCCAGCTTCCCGCCCTATGACGTTCGGACACTTCACTTCGTGGCCTGCGGACGACCGTGGCTACTACACTGGCGTGGAGTACACACCCACAGAAGTTGTTAAGCCTACGTTCGTACACCCACAGAAAAGTCGTGCAGGTGTTTTTCGAGGACCTACGGTGCGATTCGTGTGATTTTATGATGCGCGGTGCTAAAATTCTTAAGAACCCAATGGTTTTTGGAGATTTCGGCGTGCGCGCGCGAAGAAAAAACGAATGTGTCCCGCATGGTATTATTTGACAGGGATGATGGCCCTGGCAGGTGCGCAACCGTTGTCGCAGAAGTTCGAAAAAGTTGCTCGCAAAAGCCCGTTTGACAGAAATGTTTAAAAAGTGTTGGGTTTCCTACGAATCCGCAAGAGCGCGCGGGATGAGATTTTGACATTTTTTTGTTGAAAAACCATTGGTTTTTTGATGTTTTTATGTTAAAATCGCTCCGAACACTAAGCTTTTGGAAGGATTTCGTCTTGCGCGCGCGAATGTCCACTTTACCTTATTTTTTGCAAGGGATTCTTGAAATTTGATTATATTAGAACAAGAAATGTCATTTTATAGTGTTTTTTGCAAGGGAAAACGGATTACAACAAAACAACCGGATCTTGATGACATCGTATTACCTGAGGCTTCCTCACGAAAATGATGAAAATGTAGCTGCGGCCTAGGCGGCGCAGGGGGGCCGTGCACCAGGGGTCCCAACAATAATTATTCTTTAGAATTAATAATGTTCAACAACAACAACAACAACAAATGACAAACAACAACACCACCACCATCACCAACAACAACGATAACGACACCGACAACAACAACACCACAGCCAACAAGATCAACAACAGCATTAACATCAACAACAGTACACACATAATAACAACAACCACAACAACACCAACAACAACATCACCAACAACAGCAATCTGGATTGCAGAACCTCAATTCAACTACGCGCCCAGGAAAACAACGAATGACGGATTCGGCCCCCTCATTCTGACTTTCCCTGACCGGCGTGTACGCTCCCCTGCGGTGGCAACTCATGGGAGCCGCTCAAACCACCTTGTCGGTTCTTGCTCGTCGACGCTAAATCGACGCTAGTCGACGCTACATCGACGCTCATCGACGATATTGCCGACGCTACCTACATCGGCGCTGTCTCATCGACTCCCAAATGCCAATCGGTGCAAGAGACGGAATGACAAGGGTATACAAGGTTCCCATGATTCGCTGCCGAACACCCCGATCTTGCTGAGCTCCTGGCAGGAGAACTCAGAATCGAATCGATGAATTGGATCGGCGATCGACGTGAATCGGCTCGGCGGAAATCGGCAGCCGAGTCGGGCACAGAGTCGACGCGGCAGACATCGGTAGGCCGGTGGGCCCGTTTTTTCGAAACACATGTGAACGCACATCTCGAAGTCGAATCGAATCGGAATCGGAAGCCATCGAGGAGCGAGGGCGGGGGAGGCATGAGGGAGTGAGGAGGGGGGAGGGCGGGGGAGGCATGAGCGGGGGGGAGAGAAGAGAGGGGAGGAGGGGGGGAGGAGAAAGAGGAGGAGGAGGAGGAGCAAGAGTAGGACGAGGAGGAGGAGGGGAGGAGGAGGAGGAGGAGGAGGAGGAGGAGGAGGAGGAGTCCAGCGTATAGGAAGAGGAGGAGGAGGAGGAGGAAGATTAGGAGGAGGAGGAGGAGGAGGGCAAGAGTAGTAGGGGAGGAGGAGGAGGAGGAGGAGGAGAAGGAGGAGGAGGAGGAGGAGGAGGAGCCCAGCGTAGAGGAGGAGGAGGAGGGCGGGGGAGGAGGAGGAGGAGGAAAAGGAGGAGGAGAAGGAGGAGGAGGAGGACGAGGAGGAGGAGGAGGAGGACGAGGAGGAGGAGGAGGAGGAGGAGGAAGGGGAGGATGAGGAGGAGGAGCAAGAGTAGGAGGAGGAGGAGGAGGAGGGGGAGAGGAGGAGGAGGGCGGAGGAGGAGGAGGAGGAGGAGGAGGAGGAGGAGGGGCAGGAAAGGGAGGAAAAGAAGGAGGAGGAGGAGGAGGAGGAAAAGGAAGAGGAGGAGGAGGAGGAGGAGGAGGAAGAGGAGGAGGAGGAGGAGGAGGAGGAGGAGGGGGAGGGGGGGGAGGAGGAATCGAAGCCCCATCGCATCGGAGGGCTCCAAACACGAGCCTCGGCTGAGCTCCTGGCCCGCCGCCGCGCCGCACGGCGGCCGCGCGCGCCGCCACGGCGGCGCGGTGGCGGCGGGCGGGCGCCACCGCACCGCCCCGGCGGCCAGGCAGAGCGCCGCCAGCGCGCCCGCCGTCGGCCCCGCCACCCGCGCCCGGCGGCCCGCTGCTGGAAGCCCCGGCAGGGCCGCCATCGCCTCGCCCTTACGCTTGGGTCGGGCAGGTCCCCCTACAGGCGGATCTTGGACGAAGCAGAAAAGATAACAAACAATACCCCAAACATGCTCGAAAATTGTGAGAGAGCAGTCCCCCGACTACTTTTTAAAACTATGTTTGCATATTCCCCCCGCGGAGGGACAGGCCCGACTTACCCCTAAGTCGGGCATGTCCCTCAGCAGGAAGAAACAGTCAAACAAACTAGTCTGGGGACGATGTGTTGTCGATTCTTGCTGGTTGTTTCGTTTTGCATATGTTTTGGATGCTCTTCATCCTGCGTCCACGATCCGCCCGTATGCCCGACCCAAGCCTCGCCCCGCGCTGGGCGAGCGCGCGGAGCCGGCTGTGAAGCAGCGAGGCCTCCCAGGAGGCGGCCCAGGGACGCACGAGTAAACACACGCTTCCCATAGTGCTTCGTCTTCCCGCCCCACGTCCCTTAGTGTCCCACATCTTCTGGGGATCGACGATGAATTGTGTCTGTGTGTTTTTTGTCCCTCCTGATCCTAGATGGGGTCGGAGTAGATGGAGTCGGAGGAAGGCGCCGCATCGCCGATACATTGGTGACGCATGGGCGATGTACCGGCGATGCCTCGTCGAGGTAGGCGATGCAGCGGCGACGTCGACGTGAAGCACAGCGCGCTCCACATCGAGCCGCATCGGCGATGCATCGGCGATGCGGCGCGATCCTCCGACCCCATCGAGTCTGGTCGGACCTCATCTGGGAAGGCGCTGTCGCCCGGCCTCACACATCGAGCCGGCACGGAGCACGACGCGGGAAGGGATGGGGGTCGGGGCTCTGGTCGCGGTGCTGCAGCATGCTTTTGTTCTTCGGTGCGTCGGATGTCCGGGCTTGGGCTGAGACACAGCCGGCAGCCTCGCGTCGCGCCGCGAACGCACGGTCGGCTGCGAGACCTGACCCCCTCGCACCGTGAAGAACGCTCGTCGGAGTTCGCGCCGTTCGGCCTCTGGGGCCCATTGCCGGAAGCTCGGGGCCGCCGAAACACGGCGCAGGATGAAAAGCTGGTCCTCGAGACGGGGCCGGGGAAACCAAAAGGGACCGAGACCGCAGAGTACCCCCGGATCTCCCCTGGAGCGCGCTCCGGCCAGAATTTCGGAACGAACTCGGCCGTGGCGACGAGTGCCGCCCGGGAGGCCCAAAGAGAAGAAGACAGGGGAGAGGCAGCAGCATCGGTCTGACGGGCCCAAGCCTGGGGGCCCACGCTCGGAGATAAACCGCGACGCCAGGGGTCCGGAGGCTGGGTTGGTTTTGGGCTGTGGCTTCGCCGTTGGCCGGCGAGGCCGCTGTCGCCCGGGGGGGGGGCGAGAGCTCTCGGCCTCTTTTTGAAACCCTGGAAATGGGCGCCAACACCAAGACAGGGGGCTGCCTCCACAGGGATGAGATGATCCTAGATTTCGGTGTTGGTGGGGATACTTCGGTCACCTTGGAAGCCCGAGTATTACCACCATCGCCGAGATCGGGACCTTCTTCCCTCGGTGCAGGAACACCGCCGATATTGGTATTGGTGTCAACCTCTAGGCCTGCAATACGTTTTTGTTGTTGTTGTTTTTTTGTTTTTTTTCTCTCTCTCTCTCTCTCTCTCTCTCTCTCCCTCTCGCGGCGTGGTGTCCCTGTGTTCGGGTGGCGGGCGTGGGCTCCCTGGGCAAGAGGCACGTGCGCAAGGCGGGTCGCAGGAAAGCGGGGACAAGGCAGCATCCAAGCTGGGCGCTGCACTGCAACATCAGAAGCGAACGCAGAGCAGACGCAACACAAGCAACCGATAACAGCGCAAGGCTCCGTAGTCCCAAATAGGATGTGCTCCAGCGCTGATGCATATGATTGCGATTTCTGTCGAGTGTGACGCTACAGCGCGAGATGGCACATGATCCCAGCAGCCCTTTGGGCGTAGGTGGTCTGACGATATATTTGCGACCTTTTCCAAAATCGTCTTCCCTCCGGGGAAGGGCGCCCCCCCCCTCCCCCATCCCCCTCCCCTGCCTGAGGTTCTCCATGAAGAAGAAAGTTGCCCCCGCAGCAGGAATGCCATCAGGTATTGGGCCCATCATGCGCACCTCGTCTCATCTTTGCTTACACGCCTCTGTCTGAGATGCATGGAGCAGTCAGCTTTCGCAGCGGATGAGCGCCTGACGGGCCCCAGTGGCACTGCTAGTCTAGCCAAAGAGGTGGTCTCCGAACTCCGGGGCGGGGATTTACATGCCGCCAGAGCTGCTGTCACGGAGCAGCGGTCGGCGACAATACTCGGAGAAGACGTCAACTTTGAAGACGCCGCCCAAGAGATGCTTCAAATTGGTGCGGCGAAGCTCGAGTTATGGAGCGAGCCCCCAGATCAGCGACGTGCTGAGTAGTGGCTTTCTGCCGCTGGTACAGGCGCAGAAACTTGCATCTCGATTCAATTGGGGCACCAGCTCTACTTTCGGCAGCAAGGGCGCCAGGGCACATATGGCAGTAATGTTTCGTCGCAGCGCAAGCCACGCGAGCCGCGTCGCAAGCAGAACCCGGCTGGCCCTGGCATGGTGGGGCAAACTTTTGAATCGCCACCTTCGCGGCACGTGCCACTGCGCCCCCGCGAACCCCGCCGGTGCACGCGGCACGCCGACGCCACGGGCGCAGGAAAGATGACGCGGGAACTGCGCGCAATGTGGCCGAACTCTGGGCAACCACATTTGTGCCCGACAGTGCTCGCGCGCGGGCGCACCGGTAGGCACTGACGAGCCTGCGGCGGCTGCCCGCGCATTGCGCTGGCCCATGGCCCACGCAGGGCGGCCGCCCAGGCTTGGAGAGAATGTGCCGTCGACAACGCTCGCGCTGTTAGGCGCTCTGGTGCGCGGCTGTTCGCGGAAATCCGATTGGAGCCACCCGGTCCGCAATGCGCGTCTCCCCGCGTGCCGGAAAGCACACCTAATATCTGGCATAATCGTTGCCCCTAAATCGCGCGGCGATTTCGGGGGCAGTGAAATTTGAGGAGACCAGTTCTCGTCCATATCGCTGCCTCGTTGCCTCATGGCCTCACCCACCTGGCGCTCTGTAAGAGGCGGGCGGCGTCTCTCATGCGCCCGCGCGCTCCGGTGGGGCGGGCGGTTTTCTCGCGCGCCGGTGCTCTTTTTGGGGGCGCGGTCGCGTCTGGTCCGTCCGTCTGTCTGTCCGTCCGTTCGTCCGTCTGGAGGGGGTGCCCCAGCCCAGGAAGGCGATCGGGCAGCCCCCAAAGCGGCGCAACGCCGCAATCGGCAGCGCTCTCCAGCGGGCGCGGGGGGGGGCCTCGGAATTCTGCCCGGGAGACCCCGTCAAGCTGCGCGGTACCTAGCTGCCCAGTGCGCGCGCGGGAGCGCAATGCCAGAGAGCGGCGACGATGAATGTTATGTCTCGTTGGACCCTCGCAGATGCGCCCGCGTGCCAAGACGAGAATGCCCGCGAGATTCGCGACTGGCAGGCGCGCCGTATGCAAAACGCCGATTAAGTTTCCCCACTGGACGCGCCGCGGGGCGACTACAAAAATGCCTGCCATAAGGAAAGCGGCGCGCAGGCAGACTGAACGAGAACTCCGACATGCAATGCGTCGATTGCCTCGCCGGATCTGTAAGATTGCTGTTCCGAGTGCTTAGTTGCACGTCTGGAAGCCGCGCCGAGGCATTCACTTTGTCAGAGGCGCTGCTTGAGTCGGCCTCGGCAGGCCTCGTGGAATTTCCTTTCGCACGTCAGTTGCGGGCCTCAGGTGGCCAAGCGCTCTGGGAAGTTGGAGTTCTGCGCGGGGCGCTCGCGTGCAGAGGTTTTCAGCGCCGCTCAAATCTGACCAGCCTCAGCCTTTCCCCTCAAAGTCTGCAGGACCTTGCCCCAGCGCTCGAAGCCCACAACCCTGGCTTCTTCAACCACTCCCTGTCGCAATGCCGCGCTGATCGCGAAACGGAGTCCGAGGCCCGTAGGAGAAGCAGCAGCGAAGCGAACAGGGAGACGATTTCTTCTGAAACCCATGGCGCGGGCGCGACTCGCGCCAGCCAGCTGGCTGGCGCTGCAATGGGCGCAGACAAAGACGCAAGAGGTCGCGCTGCACTGGCTGCGTTCGGACAAGCCCGGCACGTGCAAACAATGCCTGCAGCGAATGCGCTGGCCACGAAGCTGGCGCCGGCTTCCCAGCGCAGCAACTCCCCCAGGGTCGAACCTTCTGGCGCGCCGAGGGAGGAAGGAGAGACGCCTCGGCATGAAAGAGTTGTTGGCGACCGCTCGAATCTGCACGTTTCGTGGATAGAGCGCTCTGGGTGGCGAAAGAGCGCTCCCCGGCATGATTCGGCTGTCCGCTTATTTGGCACGAAGCCGCCAGGGCCATTTCTAGGCCAGAGTAGCCTCCATCAGGAACTGTACCCAACATCTTCGTGAAAAGTTCGCCGTGGTAATACTCGACGGAAGTGTTTGTCTACGCGCGGAGGGCGCTGCATCTCCAGTAAGCGCCCCTCGGCGCCATCGCGGATGCACAACCAGCTCGAGGAGCAAAACAAATCGCGAAAGGCATTCTCATGAAAGAGAAGATCCGCGCCGCAGCAGAGGAAACCAGGGGGATCCGCAAGTTGTGTTGTGAGGCGGGCTATGGCTATCTTCTACTGGGAGTGACGTGGGCTATCGCGCAGCAGTTCTTTTCACCAGATTCGGAATTTCTCTATTTGGGCCGATTTCCTGTATCATGCCGCTTAGTGGCGATGATCGGACGTGCGTGGTTCACTTTGCCCAGAAGAGATGTTACAATGAGCCGCGTGCGACAGCGAGGAGTTGCATCTGCCATTTGCAGGGCCGGGCGCCGTGACGAGTCTCTTTGTGTTCTCCTTAGGAGAACAAGCATCATTTCCATTCGCACGTATTGGTTGCTCTGACGCCCTCGCCGCGCTGAAACTAGCGGCTTCAGCGCTGCATCTGCAGAGCGCGCCTGCGTGGGGGACGCGCGCTTCCATGCGAGGGTTCGCAGACGTCGCGCTCCGACAAGAAGGGCCAGCCGCATTTTTGTTTCTTGTTTCAGCGGAGGCTGGACGGGGGCTTGCGGCTTTCGGGCATGTCAGCGCCAAGAGCCGCGGCGCCTTGACAACTGCAGAATGGCTGGCGGATCGTTCTGATCCCACAGACGACGAGCAGTCCTAACCGTGCATCTTGTTCGCAAGGGAAAACAATCGCGCCGTTTTTCACGCAGGCGTTGCTGCGCGGTCCGTCGCCCTTTGATGCAAAGATGCCGCGAGGACGGAACCCAGAAAGGCGCCCGCCGCGCAGCGTTGCTCAGCCGCCCCTTGCTGGCGCAAGGGCCCCCGCCATGCCTGACGCACTGGACCGAGATGCCAGAACGATTGTCGTGAACCATAAGCTTGGTTCGACAAGCGAAACAACACTAGGTATTGGGGCCGTCGTGCTCACGTTGTCTCCTCTCTGATTGCACGCCTTTGTCTGCTTCGCGGGCGGTCGCGTCCCTGGCGGAACGGGCGGGGGGTTGCTGGAAACGGCGGGAATATAGTATGTGATGCTTCGTGCCTGGTGTGCCTCAGAGGAGCGGCGGCCTGGCTACTCCCTAATAGGAGTTCCGCGCTGACGCTCGCCCTCCCCAGCAAGGACGCCTCGTATGCAACTGCTGCGTCAGGTCCCCAGATAGGGATCTGTGTCGCCCACTCTCCTGACAGGGAGCTCTGGCACGCCAGCTCCCCTGATAGGTAACTCTGGCACGCCATGTCCCCTAAAAGGAGACTTGGTCGAACATGTTCCCCGAAAGGAGCTGCGCCTTAATGCTCCCTGATCTCAGCGGCGCCACCACACCCCCTGCCAGGGAGCTCTGGCACGCCAACTCCCCTGATAGGGAGCTCTGGCGCACCTTCATCCCTGGGGGGAGCCTTTGGCAGATAAGGCTCTCTGAAAGGAACTGCGCCTGAGTGCCCCCTGGTAGGAACGGCGCCCGTGCGCTCCCTGGAAGGAGCGGCGCCGAAATGCTCCCTGATAGGAGCGGCGCCCGGGACTCCCTGAGAGATACGGGCGGCGCCTGGAGCTCCTGGGGAGCTGCGCCGAAACGCTCCCTGACGGGAGCGGTGGCTTCCCTTGGTAGGAGCTGCGCCCAGCTGCTCTCTGATAGGAGCGGCGCCTTTCGAGCACGGTTGCCCACCCTCGCCGCCCTGTGCAGCCTTCGCCGGCACCCTGTCCCCGCTAGGTGCCTCAAGGGTGACACCCAGGAAACGCCAGCCAGGCAGCGCCCTGCACCCGCTCCGTGCTGCAGCGCGAGGGGGGGAGGGGGGGGGGGGCGAGGTGGCAGAAAGTAGTCTGTCGCCCAAAATGGCTCCAGGAGGGCCTCCGATGCTCCAAGATGGCCTCCAAGATGACCGATGATAGCGCAAGATCACTCGAGACGGCTTCCAGCATGGCTCCAAGAGGGCCACAAGAATGTCCCAAGTGCTCTCAAAACCCTCCTGGTCCCCCCAAAGAGGCCCAAATGCTGCAAACACCCTCGCAAAATCAATGAGGTGTGCCTTCTCGTCATTTTGCTTCCGATGCGCTCTTCGAGGCCTCAGGATTGCCCCAAGATGGCCCAAGATCGGGTCGGGCGAAAGGGGGGGATAGCAAAGGGGGGGTTTGAGAATCAGCTCACGTAGCTGATTTTCCCGGCGCCTCCCGGCGCCGGGAGCGGCCATGTATCGAGGAATTGGCCCTTCGGGGAGGCCGAAACCAGCTGCATGCAGCAAATTTCGTAACCCCCCCTTTCCCAATCCCCCCCTTTCGCCCGACCCGACAAGAGAGCCCGAAGAGAGGCCCAAGAGGCCCCCCCCCTTTGAGTGATGGCCTCCAGAATTGCACGACGAGGCCCTCCGTGGCTCTCAGGAGCCCTAAGAGAGCCCGGGCCCCAAGAGGGCCCAAGGACTCCCCACGAGAGCTCCAAGACCACCCCGAGAGCCCCCAGACAAAAACCCAAGCGGGCCCCAAGATGGCCGCGAGAGAGCTTCAAGAGGATCCCCACAGGGCCTCGAGAAGACCCCCAGATGGCTGCCAGAGTCCTCGTCCTCGTCCTCGTCCTTCTCCTCCTCCTCCTCCTGTTCTGCTGTTCTCCTCCTCCTCCTCCTCCTCCTCCTCCTCTCCCCCTCCTCGTCCTCCACCACTTCATCATCCTTTTCGTCCTCGTCCTCTTCCTCGTCCTCCACGTTCCTGTCGTTGCCCTCCTCCTCCCCGTCCTTGCCCTCGTCGTCATCCTCGTCCATGTCCCTCTCTTCCTCTTCTCCGTTCTTCTCCGCCACATCCTTCTCCTTCTCCTCCTCCTCCTCTTCCACCTCGTCCTCGTCCTCTCGTCGCCGTCCATACCCTCTTCCTCTTCATTCTCCTCCCCCCCGCCTCCTCCGCATCCTCCATGTACCATGGTTGCCCGCTCTGATTCAGTTTATGTCATTTCCCGTCAGCTCTCACGCGCAGCGATTCTGAATGGGCTGGTGGGGATGCGCGAAGCGTGACAAATTGCAGATTCATTGTAACTGCCATTGTCCCGCATGCTTGGTAAGAGCGCCTGCTGGTTCATGACATGTGCTGATACGCGTGCGAACTGCAGGGTTGGGAGCATTTCTCCCAGCGCCACTCCGAAGCCCGAGGAACAACCGAAGAACAAGTTCATGAGGCTGCGCCCCAGCAACATGCATCTTGTTGTGCCCAAGCCAGCCTGGTTTAGTTCAGCACGTCCTTGTGAAAAAAGGACGCCCCGCCCTAGACATCCTCAAAATTTGGGTGGGCGCGATTTCGCTTGACACGTCGTGGCAACTTGCTTGATGTGTCATGGTTCTGGCTTGGCTTCGCCTATGGCGTCCTCATCATTGGCATGCTCTGATGCGGTTCGGAAGACATCTCGCTTGAGACATCCTCCACAATTATCCCGAACGCTCCTGGACCCAGGCGCCAGCCACAACCGAGTCCGGCCGCAGAGACGAGGAGTCCAAGCCTGGGCAAGAGCAAGAGACCCCGGACGTTTGCGGCCGTGGTCGCGATCAGCACGGAGCGCATCGCCGCTCAGTGGAAAGCAGGCGTGTTCAAACTATGCGGTGAAAGCCATGTGGCGCAAACGATGTGATGTGAGAACTGTTGATCTGTGGTGTGGGCTACTCGGTGCTGCAAGCCCACACCGCCTTGCACTCAAGAACATGTGACCAGCTGCGAGCTGGCGTTGGCCCCTGGACCGTCGTGTGGACGCATGTCTCCAGGGCCTGGTCTAGCTGGAGAATTCTCCCCCCGACGCTACACCGAGGCCCGACCAACCACCGCACGATAAGTTCATGATGCTGCCCCCCTAGCGACATGCAATTGTCGCGACCCACCCACGCCCCAGCAAAGGACCCCCTGCGGTGGGAGACCCTTGGGCCACCAATTCTGCTATGGAACTGCATGTGAACATGTACGGAGCCAGGTTTGGGAAGCTTCGCTCAGCACATCCTCGAAATATATATATATATACATATACACATGCGTGTATGGTTTAGCCTCTAACTTGGCCTGACGTGAAAGGGCGGCACCCCGCCTGAGATTTCCTCAAATGTTGAATGGTTCGACCTGGTTGGGGGCCAGTTTCACCACAGACCGTCCACACAATTTTCCTGGGTTGTCCTCATGTCGGCGCAAGTTAGCCAAGCACGTTCTTGCAAGCTGCTTGCTTCGTCATGGTTTCTTCGCGGCTTCGCTTCAAACATCCTCGCACGTTGCCTGGTTTGTTCTGATTTGGTTGCGGTTTCGTCTGATACGTCACGGCTCATGGCGATTTCCCTGATTAGGGCGCGGTCCCACCTGATAAGACCTTACGGTTTGCTTGGCTTGGCTTGGCTTGGGCGAAGCTTCGCTTAAAACGTCCTTGCGATTTGACTGGTTTGATATGGTTTGGTCGCGGATGCACTCGAGAAGTCCTGGTAATTTGTCTGATCTGTTACGACTCGCGCTGGGTTTCGCCTGCGGCATCGTCATACTTGGCCTGGTTTGATGCTGATCGGACGACATCGCGATGGAGAGATCCTCCACATTTGTCAGGCATGGTCCAGGACATAGGCGCCAGCCACTGCCGAACCCGACCGCAGCGACGAGGAGCCCAAGCCAAAGCAAGAATAAGACACCACTAAACACGGCGGCATAACATCCGTTCGAGCTGGCCGCCGTGACCGGGAACAGCGCTTGGCGCAGCGCCATTCAGTAGAAAGCGGGTGCAAGCCATGCGATGCGAGCTGCGGGGTGCAAGCTGTATGGTGTGAGATATGCGTTGCAAGGAATGGCGCAAACCACCGTCGCCTCGCCCTCACTAACATGTGACAGGCTAGCAGCTGGCGTTGATTCGTGGACTGGCGTAAGGAGAGGTGCCCAAAGCCTGTAATCCGATGGGTGATGCATATAGGTCACTGTGTCGTCTGCGAGTGCCATTGGCTTACTACCGGGTTTAAGGTAATGCTGCATGGTAAAGTAACCTGCACGCGAGTGACATTCGTTATTGGCATGTGCGCGTGTTGCCTGTTATTCATGGTATACGGTCGGAGCGGTTATGCGCTGAAGGTGTTGGTGTCTGAATATTACTGGTGTGTGGTCTGACTGTCTGAGCTTGGTGCTTCATCCTGGCGTATAAGAGAAACTTGTGGCTGTTGCTTGCTAGGGACGTGTGCGATTGAGGATCTGAAGGAAGCGGTGTCTGAGTTCGATCTTGATGGCTGCTGCTGCCATGTGTCACTGCTGCACGTGATTGCTCTGTGCGCGTGGTGTGCGTCCACGGTGCCCGTTGCTGACGGACGGCCTGGGCATGTGGACGTCTTGCACGTATGTGTGTGCTGCGTGCCTCCTGTTGAAGTGACGATGCCGGTGTGTGCGTGATGCAGTACAGTCGGGGCGTTGACCTAAGGAACCCTAAACAAGGAACGAGGCCCCTCTTTTCTATGAGTTAAACTTCGATTTCCGATCGAAAACAAAAGGAAAACCTGAGGCAAGCTGCGAAACACTTAGGGAACGCGGAGCCCCTCCCCAACGAAAAGGGTTCCTTCTTCAGGGCCCCGTCTGTAGCGATGCTAATGCTTGCTCTTGCTGTCTAGTGGTGTGGCATGCTCGTGATGCTACTGCATTGCTGCTGCGTGCTCCTGGTGTTCAGTTGTTCGCCGATGTTATCGGTGCATGGTTATGGTGGGTGTGATTCGTGGCTGCGGTTGGCAAGTACCCTTGATTTCGATGCATGACTTCCCTTGGTACATGCTCTTGTTGTACGCTATTGGCGTGGGATCGTAATTCAGGTAATGGGTGAATATGTTTGAACTCCGCCGTTGGTACATATACTTCGCGTGAGTCATTCATGTGCGCGGTTCATGTGTGTGTGCTCTTGGTTCCTGCCATTGACACGTTGTTGATGTGCGATGCTGGTGCACGTAGCAGTCGGGGCTGCTTGGACAGGACACGCGAGAGGACACAAGACCCTTCCGAGCGCCATATTGCCACAGGAACGTACGAAGGCGTGGGTCGCGAAGCACAGGACACAAGGGTGGGGTGGGCGAGGTAGCGCGTGACGCCGTGGCGCCTCCCTGGTGGGGCGTCACGGCGAGGCTTAGGTCGGGCATGTCTTCCTACAGGCGGATCTTGTGAGGAAAACGAGAAATAGCAACAACTATTGAAAAAGGGTGGGAAATAGTCGAAACATCGTCCCCAGACCATTTTTTATCATTTTTGAATAGATCCCCGGGGATCCCACGAAACTCTTTGCGCCGCGCGGACGCGGTATGTTGAGCGTCGCGGCGCGCTGAGCAAACGCGCCTGACCGTAATTATGCCCCCCCCAGCTTCCTGCAAACACGCATGACCGCCCTAACTATGTAGCCACTCCCCTTCCTCAGCCGCTTGATCAAGTTTGCCAACGACCCTGGAGCATCGAGAAGGAAAAAGGCCTGGACGTTTACATACGTTCCCTCCAAAATTTGTTGGCGGCGGGGCCGCCGGGGGAACCTCCGGAGCGACGTTGGGGGGGCGGGGCCGCAGGGGCGCAACCAAGACGAAAAAAGCATCCTCCGCCTGGACCACCTGCTCGCCCCCTCCCGCTGCCCGCTGGCCTGCCACCCTCCTCGTTCTCCCCCGCGTCCCCGAGGCCGACGCCGCGAAGTCAAGTAACATCTGGGCGACGATCGGAAACGGGTATTGCGGGAGATGGCGTAGCGACCTGGCGCGGCGGCTTGCGCGGGCCGCCTGCGCGGCACGCCACATTGGAGACGAGGGCGCTTACACGCGACCTTGCGCGGGCAGCTTACGCACGACTGTCAGCGAAGCCGACTCCAATTTTTTCCGTCGCTCAGCTGTGAAATCACAACCGTCGCCCTGGACAGCATCTTCTTGCGGCACTCCTCCCCCCAGTGGCCGTAATTAGGTGGCAGGGAGGCTTCTTAGAAGACAGGAGGCCCGTCTTAGAAACGCCTGGAGGCTTCTAAGAGGCCGTCGTGGAAGCCACCTGGGCCCTGCTAAGGAGGCCTGGGGATCCCAAATCCGTGTGGTGACAGACCGTGCGGTGACCTCGGAACACCAAGAGACCTCACCGCACGGTCCACCACCGCACGGTCTTGGGACACTGGAGGCCCCTGTCGCCCGAGACATCCTCGGAGAGGGAGGGACTCGAGTCTCAAAACCGTGCAGTGACCGCGAATCCCCACCGACTCACCACACGGTGTGGTCACCACTCCGTTTGGAGGCCCCCGAGAAGGCCCCCGCCTTGATAAACCCCCCGCCTTCAGAGAAGGCCCCGGGACGCTCTGAGGAAGGCGGCAAAGCGTCAGGTGCATCTCCTCCAGGCCCGCCCGTTCCCACGACCGTAGTTTCACGCGACTCCTCACGGTGCGCCTCCTCCCCCCGGCAGGCAGCAGCGACAGTCCGCCTGAGGCAACGCGAAGGGGGGGGGGGCCGGCTGAGGGGGGGAAACGCCGAGCTAGCACCAGCGATGCATCGCCGATCGCTCGGCGATGGGCCCAGGATGGCGACACCGCACGTTCCTCGGCGGGGCGGGAGGCCCAGGCTCCCATCGGCGATACACGGGCGACTGGGTGGTCGATGCACCGACCCCCTGAGCCTATCTGCGAGGTATTGGAGGCTTGGAAATGGCCACCAACACCAACACAGGGGGATGCCTCCACCGGGGGAAGATGATCCTAGATTTCGGTGTTGGTGATCATCTTTCGGCCGCATAGAGAGACAGAATATTACCACCAGCACCGACTTTGGAATACTCTGCCCTCGGTGGAGGCACACCGCCGCTGTAGGTGCTGGTGTCAACCTCTAGGTCTCCGAAGGTAGGTATCCATCGATATCCACCGCCCTGAGCCAAGGAGGATCGAGGAGGAGGATCGATCATCGAGGAGGAGGAGGAGGAGGAGGCGGAGCAGGATCGAGCATCGAGAAGGACGGCAGAGGAGGGCCGAGGAGGAGGTGAATCGAGGAGGAGGATCGAGGAGGAGGTGAATCGAGGAGGAGGGTCGAGGAGGAGGAGGAGGAGGAGAATCGAGGAGGAGGAGCTGCGAGGTAGGGATTCCTCGATGTCCACCGCCCTGGGGAACCCATGGCCTGGGACCCCCGGGGGCGGCAGACGTGGATATATGCTCCGGCTCCAGGCCCGAGACCATCCTCATCGACCGCCTGCCTGGGTCCCCGAGGACCTCCTCTTAAACCTCCTCTTTAACATCCTCCCCCTCCTCCTCCTGCCCCTCCTCCTCTTTCCCCTCCCCTGCCTCCTCGTCTTCTCCCCCTCATCCTCCTCCTCCTCCTCCTCCTCCTCCTCCTCCTCCTCGCCCCCTGAACCCACATCCTCCTCCTCCTCCTTCTCCTCCTCCTCCTCCTCCACCTCGTCCGTCTCCTCCTCCTTCTCCATCCACATCGAACGCCTGCCTGGGCCCCCGAGGACCGATCCCCTGGGTTTGTATTGTTCCAATCGTACTCAAGGACCACATCCCAGACACAATTCCGAGCACCCAGAAAGTATCGAGACAGTGTCGAACGAGTATCGCCTCTCAGGGCCCGACACGTGGAAACCCTCATGTTTCGGTGCTTTCTTGGTGCTCGAAATTCTTTCCGGTGATCAGGGCTAAAGTAGGTTGGAACATCATAGCCCTGGGCGGCGGTTATGGATACATCGCCCCCTGAGCCCATCCCACCCCGAACGTTGCCCCTGACCTGCTGCTCACCCTCGACGCCTTGTGACTGTCGGGTCACACCTCGGGCCTCTGGCGGCCGCTCGGGAAGATTCAGGCTCCCCCCCCCCCCCTGGGAACGCCCTCGGCGAAACGCAGCTGCTGGAACGCAGCCAGAAGCCGAAAAACGCCGAGAACCGACGAGAACGCTTGAAAATCTCGAACCTCGACACCGTGAAAGTCCCCTGAGCCTATTCCCCCCCCCCCCCCCCCTATCGTTGCCCCCGACCCCCCTCCCGTCCGACTCGGCGCTCCGTGGGCCGCAGCGGCGGTCCTTCGGGTACAGCCGCCCCACGGCGTCGTCATGGCCGTGGTCATCGCAGTTGGTCGGGCGCAGGGCCGGCGCGGCCGCTGCCAGCCCGAGGCCCACTGCCAGGCTCCCTGCGGGCCGGTCTGCGGCATTCGCCACGATTCTTTAGCAGCCCATGGGAGCCTCATACGCCATCTCGCTGGCTCTTGCGAACCGACACCAACCGACGCTAATCGACGCTGGTCACCGCTACATCGACGCTGAGCCGACGCTAATCCATGCTCCATGCTAAATCAGCGGCGCTTTTCTATCGATTTTCCAGACGCTAGCGCACGCCAGTCCACCCTGTAAACAAGACTGCAAAGACATACGAGGCTTCCATGATTTGCTGCCGAACGAGTTGCCGTTCCGCCGAGGATCCAGCTTTGAGGTTCGACCGTCTACAGCTGACCACAAAAAAAAACATCCCCAATCCCAAAATCGCGGATTCGCCGAGGATTCGAAGATCGGCCAAAGATTTCGGGTTATGTTTTGCACTCGTCGTCGTCACCCTGGTAAAACCCTACCCCAAAATCTCCCTCCGCGAAGTCTCGAGGTGTCTGCGTCTTGTCTCGGCCCCCGCATTTTTGGGAATGGGAGTCTGTTTTGAGTTAGTGAACAGCAGGTTCTGGGACATCTTTGCTTGCTGCTTGCGGGTCTCAGGGGGCTTCGCGTCGCCGCGGCCAGCTTCCCCTCGCCTTCCGGGCGTTCGGCACGAGTCGGCGCACCGTCTTCTCACGACTCGCAAACATATCCGACGACCTGACCTTTTCACTGCGGGCGTTCTTGCCGGACTTCATCCTCCCAGGCCCAGATTCGGGCCCCGGGGTCATCAAAAGCGCATCCGGGGCGAAGCAAAAGACAGGGCAGGGGTCGGGGCTTCTGGGGCCGCGGATCGAACAAAAACCATAATAGGCGGATCTCATTGTGTTCTTCACGAGTCGGCGCAGGTATTTTCACGGTTCGTGGTGACATCCGCTCAAGGGGACGCCCCCCCCTCCCGTCCCCTCCTTCGCCCCCTGGGTACGGCCGCTCTCTCGCGAGAGGTAAAAAACTGGCCCTTGCCATTCCAGCGAGAATCTCGGCGGTGGACAAACCTCCCTTTAGTAAACCTCTCTTTAGTGAGAACGGCCTAGGACCGAAACCGACGGACCTGGACCCGCAAAAATGACGGCCGCGACGCCCTCTCGCGAACCGAAAACGGCCAATTCCTTATTCGACGTGTCAGGGTAGGAGGTCTGTCCACCCCCGAGAATCGAACTGCGAGGTTCCGCCTTTGAGGTCCTGGGGCGTGCTTCATCAAATTGCGGATCTCTGTGGGGTTGTCGTCGCCACAGCTAGGCTCGCCTCGGAATCCTCGCAGAAACGCACCACAAAATGTGTCCACGAGCATCGCCCGTTAACTGCCCCCTCCCTGGCAACGTCGCCGTCTGGGAACGGGCTGCGGTCGGCGCCGGCGCGAATCGTGACGTCACCGCCCCTCCTGCGAGGCGGGGATTTATCCATATCCACCGCCTGGGAGACGGCGTCCTGGTGCCCCAGCGGGCGGTGGATATATTTCGGTCCCCGGAAGCCCGAATATGCCCATGTCCACCGCCTGCCGAGGCTCCGAAAACTGACCCTCCAGGCGAAGGGCATGTATAAATTCCCGCCTCGGACCCCCTCCCTGCTTGCCTTTCTCGCGAGAGGATGTGCCAAAACTGGCTTCGGCCGTTCCGGCGAGGGTCGAACTGGGAAGTTCGCCCGAGCATGGAAATTCCTGATACTGTTTGGTCCTCCCATGGTTCCTGGGAGGACTTCTCGTGAACGAAGGATTGCAAAAAAACCCTGGGTTTTTTTTTGCAATCCTTCGTACCTGGTTTTTTTTGCAATCCTAGGTTCCCATGGTTCCTGGGTTTTTTTGCAATCCTTTGCAATCCTTCGTACGAAGGTTTTTTTAGCAATCCTTGGTTCCTGGGAGGATTTCTCGTGGCAGCGACTGATCATCGCATCCCCATCGCAGCGGTCGGAGCGCACCACACACCCGCGAGGTCGGAGCGCACCACCTACCCGCGGGGTCCCGTCGTCGCAATCGGGTCGCACGCCGTGCGATCTGGCCTCGTGTCGGTCCTACGGGCCCTCGCGAACCGACCGCCCTGGAGGAAACGCCGCACAGGGAGGAGGTCCAGAGCGACTCTCCGCCAGCCATAGACGACGACATTCGAGGGTGCCTCCCCCCAGGATGCACAAAGTGATCGATTGAACACGAAGAATCTTAGAGTGCCTTCCCCGAAACGACCTCGACATGATGCCTCGGTCAGACCGCATCCGCCTCCGTCGCCGCGCAGTGCCCACACAGACGCTGCTCCGCTGGCCGAGCCACCTCACCGCAGCGGGACCTGAAGCTGGACACGCTTCGCGTCAATTCCGCTTGCCGCTGCAAATGCAGCAGCACGCGCGCTTGTCCTTAAGGGGGGGCGTCTGGGCCCTGCGCGCAGCGACAGGGCGGAGAAAGTCAGTAGCCGCGGTCACGCGCGCGCGTCTAGAGCTGCCGAGCCCTCAAGACCACGGCACACACACACACGTAAACACACGTAAACACACACAACCACACACAACCACACACACACACACACACACGCAAACACCCACACACACACACGCACGCACGCACGCACGCACGCACGCACGCGCGCGCGCACGCACACACACACACACACACACACACACACACACACACACACACACACACACGCACGCACGCACACGCACGCACGCACGCACGCACGCACGCACGCACGCACGCACGCACGCACGCACGCACACACACACACACACACACACACACACACACACACACACACACACACACACACACACACACACACACACACACACACACACACACTTGTTTGGCGTCGCGGCCCCCACGCGCGGAGACGGGACGTAGAAAATCTAGCGCGCAGGCTTCTTACGTCCCAGCGCGGCAGTGGCAGTCCTCTAGTTGGCAATGCCGGGCGAACTCCTTGTCAGGCTGCAGTGCGGGGGGAAAGAAGGAGGCGGGGGGCGGCCGCGGGAGCCGTGTGAAAGCGGGAGGGCGCCCACTGCACGAAGACCTTCGCCAGGAGTGGCTGGTGCGGCCGGCCTGAGCTGAGGCAGCCTGGCAGTGGACGCGGAGCGGCATCACGGCCACACCCAAGGGGCTGAGGCAGAAGCTGCAGGCGCAGAAAGCATAGCTCAAGTAGTGCCAGCACGGGGGGAGCGACAAGCGAGCCCACCGCAGAGAGAACGGGAACATCGGGGTGTTCGTCGTGAAGCCGTAGGAGACAAACTTCTGCTGCAAGTGTACGGCTCGAGCAGGATGCGAGCATCGCCGGAGCGACCATGGGGGGCTGGGGCCGCTAGGCCGTGCAGCAAAATGCTGCCATGATGCTAACCAGAGCGGCTAAGCAGCTGGGCTGCAACATCTGAACTGATGATATGCAGCTGCTGTGGGGCCAGAGGCTGCCAAGCCGCGGCGAAGGAGCAGCCGAACTGCAGCGAGGCAGCCCACCACCGCAAGGGAACAAACAGCCAGGCGGCGGCGGGGCGGCAAGCGGGGAGGGGGAGGGGCGGCCGGCCTGGCCGGTGCACGCATCGCAGCTGGGAGAGCCGGGAGCGCCCCGCCGCAGGACTGGCCAGGCGCGGGCGCCCGGCTGCAGGAGCAGTGGGGCAGGCGACCGGGCACAGCTGGGCGAGTGGCACCCCGGCGCGCAGCATGCACGGGGCCGCACGGGGGGCGGCGCCAGCGTGCTGTGCGGCCGATGGGAGACGGCGTGGGCAGCACGACGCCACCAGCAGCTACACCGGGATCGCTCACCTGGGCCCCGTCCCGCCTGTCACCGGAACCGCCGCGCCAGGCAGGAGCACATAACTGCTCTCACTGCTCAGATTCCCATCCAGCCTGCCAACTGAAACGACGCACCTGATTGGTGCACGCGCTTCTTTTGCAGCACCCACCTGGGGGGTGGAGGCTCCATCAATGCCACGGCGAGCCTCTGTGGCAGCGCCCACCTGGGGGGGCGAGCGCTCCAGCTGGGGCAAAGGACGGGAGAATCCACCTGGGAGGTTGGACACTCCAGCGGGGCCGGAGGGGGAGGGCGCGCCACCTGGAAGGGTAGCGCGCGGGAGGCGGTAACTGATAGGTGCGCGAGCGAGTAGAGAAGGCGAGGGGGCGTACCTGGAGGGGTGGCCCGCCTGCACGTCGTCGCGGGCGCACACTGCGGGGGGCAGACCCCGCCCGCAGCACTGCCAGGTGCTGGCGCAGAGACCCTGCGAGTGCCCACTTCGGGGGGCGGGTGCCCGGGGAACTCGGGGCCAGGTAAGCCACCACGTAGGATGCGGTCAGACTGCGCCCATAGTCGTGCGTCGGGTGAAGCAGGGCACACGCAAGCCACGAGGGTACACCCCATGCGCAATCCAAGGCTGCACTGCCCAGCCAAAGAGTGGCTGCTGGGGGGGGCAGGCGGGACTGGTCCCTGGACTGCCACGAGGCGTCGCTGGCGCGCTTGCCTCCCTTGTCATCCCCCCTGCCTGCATAAACCTGCCGCTCCTGCTGCTGGCGCCACACGACATCCCAGTCGATCGTTATGCGCCGGTGCCGGCAATAGGCCCGTATCTCGTAGTAGGAGCCGTTCAGATCAGCCAGGAACTGCATGCAGACACTTTTTGGCGGTCGCGGTCTCGCGCGCAGCGTCGAGGTGGAGAAAGGCAAACGATCCAGAACCGGAGCGGAAGCGCGCCCAGCCAGCCCCTCAGATGAGGCAGGGATCCGTCAGGATCAACCGTGCCATGCACATGCCTGGGCAAACCGGGCGAGTCGCTCAGGACCAGCGGGACATGGAGGTCGTCCACGTGGGCGGAAGTAGAGGCGCAGCGGAGGCCAAAGCGGCGGACCGAGGAAGACAGAGAGTGAGAAGAAGGCAGCAAAGCCGAGGAAGGAGACACGCACGTTTATACACGCGCGCACACACAAAGCAGGGATACTCAAAGATGGCCGCCACACTGTCCCAACATAGCCGCAAGATTGCTCCGCCTGACGCGCCAGCAGCAGAGAGCGCAGCCCTTCATAGAGACCCTCCTGGAGACCCTCCTGCAGAGCTCGAGGAGGCCCAAACTATTGATGCCTCTGGTTTTTGACAGATGTTGAGCCTCTCGCCTGCTTGGGTTTCCGACCGCCCAAGACGGCACAAGAGGCTTCCAAGAGGCCTCCAAGATAGTTCCAATACAGCCCAAGAGGCCACCAAGAGTGCCCCAACTCGGCCCAACAGGACCCACAGATCGCCCCAGGGGCTCCCAAGAAGGGTCCCGCACGGAGCTGCAGTGCTCCAAGAGGGCACCAAGACGGCCAAGAGAGGCCCTCAAGACGGTTTCCGAAGGCACCAGACGGACCAAGAGTCCCTGAAGACGGCCCAAGAAGCCCCAAGAGGCGTTCAAGGGGCCCCAGTACGTGCACGAGGCCCCGAAGAGGCCTTCAGGAGGCTCCCAGGAGATCCTCTGGAGGTCCCCACAAGGCCCCACAAAGCCTTCTCCTCCTCGTCCTGATTGTCTCCCTCTCCATATCTTTCAATTCCCTTTCGTATAAGTATTCACTCCTCCCTGTCGCATCCCGACGCCAGTATGGAGGGCGGCCCGAGCGTTTCGCATAAGACTTCCTTGCCAATCATGGTCCTGACGCTTCGAAACCGGCAACAAGTTCGCAGACGGAGGGCGGGCCGCTTCCAACATGTTGGTCTCGCTTCAGCGCCGCGCACGCTCGTCTTAAAGATTTGCAAGGGCTTCACGGATAGAGGGCGGGTCGGTTTCAACATGTGGCTCTCGCTTAAGCGCCGCGCACACTCGGTTCAACAATAACAACAGTTTCACGGATTGAGGGCGGGTGGTTTTCAAAATGTGGCCCTCGCCTCGCTTCAAAATAATGAAATGGCTTCGCGGATTGAGGGCAGCTCCTTTTCAAACTATGGCTCTCGCCTCAGCGCCGCGCGTGCTGGTCTTGAACATTTGCAAATCGTTTGCAATTTCCCATGGTCAACGTACCAGCAACAGCTTTTTGGAAAGAGTCACGAATGCCTGGGCGTACCGGTTACGATGATACACGGTATGGAAGTCCAAGGCACGGAACTCTGGCACGATTCAAGATCGTCAAGACAAAATCTTCAGGTTGACTGGCAGTGCTCGTTGGAATCCCGGGAATGGTGGTTCGGCGCGCTTCTAGCTCTTTACACGCTTGTCTCCCAACATCGTTGATGAATCTTGGGTTTACGCTGGTCCTCCTCCTCCTCCTCCTCCACCTCCTCCTCCTCCTTTTCCTCGTCCGTACCGCGCGGACGAAGACGATGTCGAGATCACAACTCTCCCCATGTCAGACCACTCGCTGGACAACCGCGGGGTGTGAACTCGACCTCCTTCCTACCGCGCGGACGAAAACGAGGTCGAATTCACGATGAGTCCTTGGCAACACACTCATCGAAACTGCGCTGTCCTTACAGTCGGCCTCCTTCCTGCTGAGCTGTTTCAAAAGCACGGTGGCAGTGTTTGCTGCAGGCATTTGGATAATCTCCGTACGTGTAAAGCGAACTTTGGCTAGACATCGCACACCTCGGCATACCTTCCTTATCGCATTATCAAATCAAATCCTGCGCCGGTCCCTGTCGAACCCAATTATAGCCGCGCCGTTTGTTCTCGACGCGCCCTGGTGGACGATGGGCCTAGTGGCGAGCCAAGACGCTTCGCCATGTTTGAAAGAGGACTCCCGGAAAACTCCCGCAGGAGTGACGCCAGAGGACTCCCGTGCGAACGCCTGCGGGAACTGCGGGTGGGGGGTCCCGAAACGCTCGGTGCGATCCCCCACCCGGTGGCGCCCACGTTTGCGCCCTCCCCGACGGTCTCTCCCCCCTCTGGCCCCTCGCCCGTGCGCGTGTGTCAACCAACCAGGCAATCCACAACAACCGAACCAGCCACCCAGGCAAATCACACCGACCCAAGGCCCCCCGGCCTGCGCCGCCCTGTGCGCCCTCCCTCTGGCCCACCGCTTTCACTGCACACCCCCATCGCGTGGTCGCCCCCAACGAGCCCGCAGCAAGTCCGCCAGGGGCGCGCTTGTGGCCTGCTGCGAGCGCGGGCGGGGCGTTGCGCGCAAGGGACAGGCGCGGGAGGAGGGAGGAGGACGGAGGAGGCTGGAGGGAGGAGAGAGGAGGGGGGAGGGAGGAGGAGGAGGAGGAGGAGGAGGAGGAGGAGGAGGCTGAGGCTGAGGCTGAGGCTGAGGCTGAGGCTGAGGCTGCGGCTGAGGCTGGGGGGAAAGGAGGAGGATGATGACCGAGCCTCAGGAGGGCGCGTGTTCCCCGCCTCCCGCCGCGGGGGGCCTGGTCTCCACCTGAGGAGCCAGACCCCCCGACCGCGAACTCGACGCAGTCGAGCTCACACGTGGACGGACTTGTCAATGCCGCCCATGTCCGCGGGAGGGGGAAGGGGCGAGGGCCCTGCACGCGAAGCGGCGAGGCCGCCTACCACCCCCCCCCGCTGCTCCTCCCGCGGCCGGCCGCCCCGGGCCTTGGACCATCACCACGTGGACCACCACGCGCACGACGGCCACCAGCCGCTCCGGAGCCCCCGCCACGCGCGCCGTCGGACGAGGCCGCCAACTCCTCGAGCTCGACGGCCATTGCGACCAGCACGCCGTGGTCGAAGGGGGCCGTCTCGGGAGCGGGAGGCAGCCCAGCGCGCTCCCGCAGGCGGACGACGAGGTTCCTCAGCTGCCACACCTCGAGGTGGCCAAGCTTGCCCTTGCCGCCGCTCTCGCCGCCCTTGCCCGCGTTCTTGCCCTTGCCCTCGCGCTGGTCTGTGCTGGCAGGCGGGCCACGAGCCTGCATCACCACGGGCAGCTCGTCGGCCCAAGCGTCGTCCTCCAGCATCGGCTGAGGCGGGGCGCCAGCCCCCGTGGCCACCTCGCCCGCCGACCCCTTGTCGATGTCCATGCCGTCAGCGACGATGTAGTGCTTGCCGTTCTCGTCCCCGCCCTTCGAGCCGCCGCGGCCGCGGGGCCGCCGCCTCCTGCGCGAGGAAGCCGCTGGATCCGCCAGGGGCGCCGCGACGAGCGCGGGGGAGGAGGGCGTGGCGAGCACAGCCACCGCCGTGCGCAGCAGGCCTTCGGCGGCGCGGATGAGGCGTACCGCCTCCCGCTGGCCGCTCGCAAGCCCAGCCGCCGCGTGCGTCGCCAGCACTGCGCCGCGCGCAGCGTCCAGCGTCGCCTTCGCGGAGCGGGCGTCGGTCGTCGGCGGCATCGGCGAGGCGGCGGGTCGGCGGGGCGACCCAGCGGCGGCGGCGCGTGAGCCAAAATGCCAACTTGAGCCAAATGGCTACGGACGGGAAAGGAGGAGGAGGAGGAGGAGGAGGAGGAGGAGGAGGAGGAGGCGGGGGAGGACATGATAGGACATCCGCATGCGGGGGTCAACGTCAATGCGCCCGCTAAGGTGCAGTGTAGAGCGCATTCGTAATTCCCCTGCGTGAGCGTTATGCAGCAAGGACCCGACGGCCATTCGACATCTTATCGAGTGAACTGCCGAAGCCAGCGCAAGGGCGCGCACAGTGCCTCCTCCCCTCCACTACAGGCGAGCGTGCGGCCCGTTTGCAGGGGGCCATGTATTACCAGCCAGTAGCTGCCCGACGAGACCAAGGGGCGCGGCGCCGCTGGCGCTGCGTCGCCAATGGCGCGCGCGAGCGGGCCTGCGCAAGACGGGGGTTTCCGCGAGCCCCTCTTTAATTCGCGAAGCAAATTCTAGTCTGCACCCCACGGAGAAGAGGACCGAGGAAGACAAGAGAAGGGGTCACTATGCACTCCGAGATGTCCCCGCTACTGCGATCGGCGCCCGCTGCGCCAAGACAGACGCTTTGCCCCGCGCCAAGCGCGCCCAGAATGCACGGCCCCTGCTCCTGTTTACTTCACCTCGCGCCGGCTAGCCTGTCACTTCAATGTGTCGTCTTCTGCACGGTCACACTAATTAAGTAAGAGAATCTGGGAACACACAACAAATGCGGCGCGTGCTGAAGATTCGCGCAACATCACCGCCCAAAGAAAGAAGTGGCTGCGCATGCGTATATGTCTCCAACTTCGGTGCGCAGATTGGCGTGCGCTAGAATCTTCACGTGGCGGCAGTTGCGCGCTTGTCTCCCGACCTGGCCAACACTCAAATGCTTTCGCATTCCGAAAGAGCGTATTGCACCTCTGGTGAAGTACGAACTGTGCCGCCGTTGGCAAATTTGTACCGCAAGTCCTCCGCAGAAGAGTAGCGGCCAGTATTGTTCCACATCGTGTCATAGGTGCCGTCCAAAGTTCGCCCGTTGAGCTTCCGCGTCCGCTCGCCGATGACAAACCGTCAACAGCTGCGTCTTCCACCGCCAGGAGGTCAGAGGAGACCCCCACTGTGACATGTTGCCAATCCCTTTGCCTCAATGTCCTACTCCTTCTCCACCTCCTCCGCGCCTGCACAATCCCTTTGCGAAAAAAAACAAATCTTAGCATTTGAACACTTCTCAAGTTGATACCCCCTTCCGTGCACTGTGTTTGCAAGACGCCCTTAGTGATTCCTTCGTGGGTCGCTGTAAAACTGAAGAACGCCGTCGGCGTTGCGATCTCCCGGCCAATCAGCAAGGAACATTGGTTTTCGAATATCGTCATCGGCACCAGTCGGTTGCCTGTGACCCTCGGGGCCTCCGTCTTCCACAACTTCCTTCGCTCTCCGGCGAACAAGCGAATCGACCTCTTGGGATTACATTTCTAAATGATCGGGTTGGCCCCCGTCTTTCCAGACCTCCATCTCGGCCGTCTCACCGCGGGAGCCCAGGGTTTTCGAAGTTCATCGAACTTCAGATTCCGGCGAACAAGCAAGTGCAAAGCAGGGCCGATCGGGTTCCATTGATTCAAGCTTGATTCGATCACCTGGACAACATCCCCACATACTTCGGGCATGGCGTCTCAAAGTTCTTCATCGGCACCCACGGGCTGCTTCAGAACCTTGGCGCCTCCAACTCCCCTCGGACTTTTGTCGTCCAACTTCGCTCGCCAGCGCGCAAACGAGTGCGAAGCAGGGCCAACCGAATTCTATATCGTGGAACAGCTGTGTCGAACGATCGGACTCGCTCGTAGGAAGGGCAGGCTGCTCCTGAGCCGAGCGGGCGCAAGTGCTGAGGGGAGCCGAAACGGCTCTGCAAGCTCCCCTGGCAACTCTTCCCCCTGGGCCCCGCGGGACGCAGGGGGAAGGGGGGGCCGAGCAAGCTCTGCAAACTCCCCCGCTGCCGTCTGACCGCCTTTCTCGCCGCTGCAGTTGTCCACCTCGATGTCGGCACCCATCTGCGCGCCCTGTGGCGGCGGTTCCTGCGCTCTCTCTCTGTCTGCCGAAGTTGTCCAACAAGCAGAGGGTCCCGGGGCGTGTGCGCCCAACTGTTCACATATTGTAATCCTGGCAGGCTGGCATTTCCAGAAATGGGTGCGGCGGATCCGTTCTCTGCATGTTTGGCTCGTCTTCTTTTTCAAGGTCGCACTCAAATCTTCCATCGAAAACTGGAAAGATACGGCACAAGAAATACCCATTGCCGGATCACGACCCAGTCAATCTAGAGAAGATCGAAAGAATGTGCGGTATCGACATAGCTGCACGGATTGTTGTGTTTTGTTGTTATTATTTTTCCTCCTGTGGCCCCGGCAGAACATCCTGTGAGGCTGTCAGAGTCCGTAAGTCGTGTGAGGGGTGAATGATGAAAGTCTTCCAGTCTTCCCTCCGTCGGGGCTGAATTTGCCTGAGCTCCAACGCTGGCTCCGCGGGGGAGGAGGGGGAAGAGGAGGAGGAAGAGGAGGAGGAGGAGGAAGAGGATAAGAAGAAGAAGAAGAATAAGAAGAAGAAGAAGAAGAATAAGCACGGGAGGCTGAGGCAGGGGAAGGAAGAAAAGGAGGTGGAAAGAGGGGAACCGCCTCGCGCGCGAGCCCTGCTGCTGGAGGAGCCGCGGCCCCCGCCGGGGTGTTCGGCGCCCGGAGCCGGGCGCGCTCCTGGCGGGTGGGCGCCGGATGTGGGAGGGAACCTACTTGCTCCAGTCTCTCCAATCCTTCTTCCTCCTCCTGTAACCCCTCCTCCTCTTCCTCCTCCTTCCCCTCCTTTTCCTCCTCCATCCTTCTCTTCCTCCACCTCCTCCTCCTTCTCTTCCTCCTCCTCCTCTTCCGCTTTCTCCTCCTCCTCGTCCTTTCTCCTCCTCCGCCTCCCCCTCCTCCTTTCTCTTCCTCCTCATCCTCTTCCTCCTCCTCCTCCCCCTCCTCGCTCCTATCTCCCCCCCAATTTCTCCGATGTCTTCATTATCTGCTCTAAACTCTCCTTCTCTTCTTTTTCTTCCTCCACCTCCTCCTCCTCCTCCTCCTGTTCCCTGTCGCGCCCGAGGCCGGTCGGAAGGGCGGGCCAGGCGTTTCGCCTGAGACCTCCTTACCACTCATGAGGCCGAAGCTTAGAGACGGACAGTCGTTTCACAAATGGAAGGCGGGTCGCTTCCAAAATGTGGTTTATCCGTAGCGCCGCCCGCACTCGTTGGGAAATTGTGCAAGAGCTTCGCGGATTCACGGCGGGCCGTGTTCAAAATGTAGTTCTCGCCCTAACGCCGCGCATATTCGTCTGAAATGTCAAGAATTCCACGGAATGACTGCGGGTGGTTTTCAAGATATGGCTCTCGCCTTCACCCCGAGCACACTCGTTTTACAAACATGCCAGAGCTTCACGGATTGAGGGCGGTTCCTTTTCGAAATGTGGCCCTCTTTTCAGCGCCGCGCACACACGTCTTTGATATTTACAGAAGAGCTTCACGGATTGAGGGCGGGTCGTTTTCAAAATGTGGTTGGCTATCGCTTCAGCGCCGCGCACATTGGTTTAAATCAAATGCAAGAGGGTTGCGCGGATGATCGTGGTGCACCCCCCAAAACGTAGATTTTCCAACGGTTGAGGATTGTCAAGGCGCAGCAGTTACGTCGATTCGCGGTGCTGAAGTCCCAGGAGTGCCGTTCTGGCGCGATTCAGGTCGTCAAGACGCAACAGTCAGGTGACTCGTGTCACGCTTCGGGACGTTCACACGATTGTCTCCCAACGGGGCACTTCCCTGAAATGAGTCCTTGCATGGTGCCTGCGACGAGGGAGTTTGGAGGGAGGGTGTATCCGAACATCTTTGATAAGTCTTGCGTTTGATTGGTCCTGCTCTGCCTCTTCTCTCCTCTCTCCTCTCTGCTCCCGCTTTTCCTCACCCATCCTCCACCTCCTCTCCAATCCCTCCTCCTCTTCCTTCCCATCCTTTTCGATCCTCCTCCCCCCCCCCACATCCCTCCACCATGCTCCTCCATCCTCCTATAAACCGTTTGCCTCTACCATCCTTCTCCTCTTCCTCCTCTTCCTTCCCCCTCTCCTCCTCCTAATCCTCCTCCTCCTTCCTCCACAACCGCAGCCTCAGCCTCCTCTTCCTCGTCTGCCTCAGCCTCCTCCTCCGGCAACCCCTCCTCCATCTCCTCCTCCTTCTCCTCCTCTGCTTCCCCCCTCCTCCCTACTCTCTCCTAGATCCTCCTCTCTCCTCTGTCCTACGTACAAGTTTATCCCTTCCCTTGTCCTCCTCCCCCACCAGCACCACGTCCTTCTCCTCCTCCTCCTCCTCCTCCTCATCCTTCTCGTGCCCCCCTCCCCCAACATCAGTTATCCACCGTTCCTTCTTATCCCCGAATCCTCAGCCTCCTGCTCCTGCTCCCCCTCCACCTCCTGCTTCTCCAACTCCTCATCATCAGCAACAGCATCGTCATATTTGCTCTCATCCTCCTCATCCTCCTTTTCCTCCTCCTCCTACTTGTCTCTCCTCTCTCCTCGCTCCTCTCTCCTCCCTCCTCTCTGCTCTCCCCCCCCCCCCCATTGCACTCACCGGTCCTCCGACCCCATCATCCTCCCATATTTCTCCTACTCCTCCTCATCCTTTTCATCCTCCTCCTCCTCATCATTTTCCTCCTCCTCCTCCTCCTCCTCCTCCTCCTCCTCCTCCTCCTCCTCCCCCATCCCTCCTGCAAAACCCCGAGGAGGGTTCTGCGCGGGAGCTCGGTGACAGCGATGACGATCGGTCACCTTTTTACCTCAGCACGGCGAAGCGAGTCTCGGTAGCTTCAGCCGTTAAATACTTGAGCCAAACGGTAACGGGGACACCTTCACTCCCCAGTCACCTGAATGCTCACATGTTAACACCCCCCCTCGGACGCTAGTCCGCATAGGCTGACGGGGAGGCGTCGACAATCACGAAAACAGGTCAAGCTAGACAAAACGTCGCACGCAAATGACGTTAAGCCTCAAGTCTCTTCATTACACTGTTGAATTCGAAATGTCTCGTGACGGCGCTTACGAGCACCAAGTTTCTCACACATGTAACCTGAGCTCGAGTAAACACTTTTACTGACGCAAGTTCAAACGAAGCATTCAAAATTTACACAGCAAGCTAGCATTTGGATGATTTTGGTTGCTTTCGCTTTTTATTCGCCAATACCTGCGGGAACAACAAGAGATGCGCATGCAAACAAACTCAGCTCAACAGGCTGCTGCCGCTCGATCGTTAAGCCAAGTTAAGAGGGGAGATGAGGAAGAGCGTGAACTGCAGCGTGTTGACTGCCTGCCATCTTTCACGGACGGCGCGGGCGCCTCGCCGACGGCGCCCGTGAACCCCTCGACCTCGGTAACCCGCGATGGCCCACGCCGACTGCGGTGTAGGACGACACCCTGTTAAGGGCCTGCATCTGGTTGTAGTAATCGTCGTCCATGTACGCGTTAATGCGCTCCTCGTCGTTAAGCCAGCACTCCTCATCGTGGCTCTTGATTGAGCCGTCAACGATGTTGTGGTAAGTGCCGATGGCTCTCCAGTAACAGGCGTGGGGAGCGTTTAACAGAGGCCCATCGACTGGATTGTTACGGAGGTGCTCTTCGACCGCAGCGCCGGTAAACGGGTTCACAGTCCAGGCCGGATCGGTAAGCCAGTTGGGGAAGTCGTCGCACGGTAACCAGCCAAACCAGCAAAGCTTCTCACGGTGATCGCTTTTACGCTCAGTGACATGATCGGCCGGCCAATTATCACGGTAAAGTGCCCTCATGGATCCCTGATCGTTAAGGGCAACTTCCAAGACGGTCTGGTGCCAGTATACTAGGGGCTTGCTCATCCTGCCCTTTAACTCCGCGGTGCCCCTGACCTCGAGGTCGTCGATGTAGTAGTTGCGGTAATGCACCTGGGGCCCGTTCATGTAACGGCAGTAAAGCCTGGCAAGATCGGGCGTCGCAAAGCGAATCACGGTAACTCCAGTCGAGATGTAACCGTGCGGCCCATGGGTGTCCTCCACCAGGTGCTTAACGGAGATGACGGTGGGGTTGCCGTGGGGCAGCATTCCTGCCCACGTTAAGAGGAGGCCGTTAAGCTGCTTCTCGTTCATCTCCGGCACCTTGTTGACGTACACTTGCGTGCCCGCGCAACTGTGATGCTCAAACCACGGTGGGTGAAGCTCGTCAAGGTGGAGCGGTGGCACGTAGTCATCATCAAATAGGGACTGCACGTGCCCAACCGCGTCAACCCATTCATCATGCTTGGCCAACTCTGTGTCCGTTAACTGAGACCTCCAGCTGATCGGACCTTTCAACACGGCATAGCCGATGAAACCGTAAGCGTGTTGGCCGAAGATGTCAACGAACACGTCCTCGTAATCGTTAAGTTCCCGCCCGGTGTTGCCCTGAATGGCCCTGCCGCCAGGGGTCGTTAACCCCGCCTTCGCCACGTGCCCGACGAAGTTACCCTCAAACTTGCGCCAGTTATCACGTGTCTTCATCGTTAAGGCTACCACATCCCTGGGATCAGGTTCCGCCCGAAAATTAACGTCGTAGTCGTCGCTCCTGTTGTTCAGCATGGACGTGCGACCGTTGACGTGGTACAGCGGGCGGTAAGTGGTGTCCTTGGCGACGATCCTGGAGTGCCTCTCAACCTGATCAATCGCGCGGTTAACGACCTGAGGCTGCGGCGGCGGGATGTGCTGGAACGGTAACCTCTTGGCCTCTGGAGGCGGGGGCTTCGCGCCGGTAACGCTGCTTGCCGCTCCGGACTCGCCGGACCCCGGAGGGGGCGGCTTGGCCGGCCTCGCGTTTACGACGGGAGCCGGATTCTTTGGCGCCTCATCACGTTGACCACCAACCGTTCGATCCTCGTCCATCTTGATGCCTATCTGCCTCAACTCCTCCAGCTCCCGTTGACGTTCACGCATGGCCTTCGGCGCCCGCTTGTAAGCAGGCTGTGGCTCTTCACCGCCCTGCGGGCTCAACG